CCGGCCGGTAGGACCGGTCCGGTTCCGGTTGGGGGAGGACCCCCCGGTCCTACCGCGTTTTCAGCACTGTTTTGTTTTGTTTTCTTGTTGAAAACATCGTTGTTGGACTGCGCTCACCGAGATCGCCCCGAATCCACAAAGAAAACTTTGAACATAGAAGTTTCGTTTGGGGGTTTGGGGGGTTATTTCAGGGATTGGGGGTTGGGGGTCGGGGGTTGGGGGGGTTATGGTGAGGGTGTTAGTGGTGGGGGTTCAGCAAGCACTGGCTTCAGCAGACCATGACAACAACGTACCTGGATTTCTGCAAAAGTTAACCTTCCGCCCAAAAACTTTGAAAAGGGGGTGGGGGTGTTAGTGGCAGGGTATGGACGGTACTTCCCACCCAAGAACTTTGAAAAGGACAGCCTATTTGGGCTTCCGATCTCTCAAGATCAGCGGTCCAGATAGGCCGCTCTTTTCAAGCCCTTTCGGTGAGCCTACCGGACCCGATCTGATTTGTTTTTGGGCCAGGAGACCTCCACGGCCCGCGTGGAGGCCTCCTGGCCCGAAACAAAAACGGTAAACCCCCAGATTGGATGCGCTGCGGCCCCTTGGTGCTTCTGTCACTGCTGTCTGGTCCAAGTTGCCCTCGATACTGGTAGGGTGATGGTCCTGAGTGCTGGTCACACTGAGGTAGGATAGTAGGGATAGGGGGTGCGCTGGGAGTATTTGTCATGGGGAAGGGTAGGGAAGGTGGCCTATCCTGTCAGGGCAACCACCAGCTGTCGCTGCCACCAATCACCGTGGGTCTAGTCCTTGGTCTCTACAACACCCTGGGCTTTTAAGGGAAAAAACAAAAAAAAAAGAAAAAAAGATGATGCGCTACGGCCAACTGGGGGGGAACCGGCCTGGTCGACCGGCCGGTAGGACCGGTCCAGTTCCAGTTGGGGGAGGGGCCCCCGGTCCTATCGGGTTTACAGCCTAGGTTTTACATATGTACTGTTCCTGATCAGGATCCTGCTCCTCGATCCCAATCTCTAGAATGCAGCGCGGTTTTCCCCCAATGCGCTTCTCAGACTCTATGCAGAGATAGCAACTACACATAAGAAATCGTTTCCAAACCATGAGTGAGAGAGAGAGAGAGAGAGAGAGAGAGAGAGAGAGAGAGAGAGAGAGAGAGAGAGAGAGAGAGACAACAAATTAACAAACAAACAAAACAATTCCTTCTATTCTGGGGAGCAGCTGTCCGGTTTCTATTCCACTGGCGAGTCAAATAGTCGTAAACAGCTCTTACCCACGCTTCCCCAGGTTACAGCCCGAGGAAAACTGACAGAATAGATTTCTTCCCTCCGGGAGGATTGACTGCCAGTTAAGCCCATCCTCTGGAGCAGATCCCCGCCCCCTGCCATCCCACCCCCAAACAAACATTCTGTTCATTGGGATTAGGTAGACAACTGCAGGATTTCTTTCGGCTGATGCAAAAGTCCTAGACCTTTGAACCCCCTTAATCTGAAGCTAGCATTGGGATTAGGTAGACAACACTTGAGAGTATGTCACAATCATAGATTATTCACACAAACTACACACGAAGGCTCGATGAATAGACTAGTTCAGGTTTCCACCGTACTGTCCAAAACCCAAGATCCGCCGTCATACACTGAGCCAACTTCCGTTGGAGCCAACCACTACCGTCCGAACGGTACTAGCCAGTCCAAGCATAATGACCTGAGAGAAGTCACCCCCCCTCCCCCCAGCGACCATGTCGCTATGTATAGAGTGATCCCCCTCCAAAGAGCTCGTGGTAAAAAGTTAATTTTTTATTACACTTGCACAGAGTTAAATGAGAATAAAATATGCCCTAAAGATTCTCACCTGGCGAGAAGTCAAAGTTGCTCGAAGAGTTTGGACGATATCGTGGGCAGGGACGGCCTGCGGAGCAAACAGCACAAGCTGCTGGGCGTAAAGAACACACCTGGACAAGCGCACGATTCCCAAAACCCAGAGAATGATGATAATCTCTCAGCAGCCTCAAACAATCATTCTGATCATCCAATAAACTTAAACTCAGTAGGGTCCATCTCTGAACACAGATGCTACTGTCTTCCCCGAGCATAATGCACCCCGATTCTGAATGTATACAAGCCATCTTTTCGGTCGGATGCAGTCATAATGAGGCTGTGTTGTGTTCGGGGGAAGACGGTAGTCGTACGGGAGTTGATTACTTATGTATTGAGGGGCAAGAGCTCTGTCTAAATCTTGACCTCTTCAACAGACTGACCCACAACCTCTGCATAGTTATGATAACTTAGTTCCTTAGACCATCAGACAATCCTGCCATCATAAGAAGCTGCTCGTACATGCAGAGGGAACATGTACAGGCTTCACTGTCACGCGAAAAGGGACACATTTTACTGTCACGCGAAAAGGGACACGCAGCCAAGATGGTCCAGACCCAGATGTGCTAGTGGTTTGCATAGCCAGGCGAAAAACATTTACCGGATTTGCCGCCAGGAGAAAACCGATACAGAGCTTGAGAAGACTCGGAAAAAAAAACTCTCAAGTTGGCTAGAATGCCTACACACATTGGAACCTCTTCAATCAGACTGCAAACAAGGGAATCGCAGTGAAATTGCACTGTAAAAACGGAAAAAAATGATTGAAAAAAAAAAAAGGAAAATCATATGACAGACGCTGGTTCGAAAAAGGAAAAGCCAAAACAGTGAGTGTCTTAGATCATCTTGCGGTGTACTCCTGGTCGACGTATGCTGAGAAAGGAAATTGATTGAACACTACACAAAGACCACATAACCATGGTTGGGGAGGCCGGTGCAAGTAGGCAGTCAAATGCACGTTCAGGTCAAAGAGGCATCTTCAGTGGCACTCACGACACAGCATCCGTGGCAGAATCTTCAGTTTTGAAAAACTCTTTTAAAACGGTGATTAACCGCGGATTAAGTGACAATTTTTGAACTTTGAAAAAATTATGGGATGGTCTAACAGACACAAGATAGACATGCACATAGACATGCACGCAATGAGGTGGAAAAATGAAAGGATTTGAGGGGAGAGCAGGACCAGCAGGGAACGAAAATCTTACTCCAATTGAGCAGCTGGCTCCACAGCAGTGCTGATCTCTGCCACGATGCTCTGATACGGTTCAGAAAGCAAAAAACACGAGGGACGACGACAAAATTGTAACATGGGTGATCGGATGCATAACTTGGAGACTATAGCTGCTGCTATCTATGGCTTTAGGCTACCAATTAATAGCAGTTGTTCTCCTTTCCGCCCCCTCAACAACCCCCCCCCCCAAAAAAAAAAAAAAAAGAAAAGGAAAAAAAACATTGACATAGCTCAGCAATGCATCATGCATGCCAGCCTGCTTTTGTGGTAAGTGTACCATCAACATGATACGATGAAATTGACCGGGGCGAGGGGGAAAGGGGAAGAATAAGGATGGGGGCAAAAAGAAGATGAAAAGCAAACCAAGGCAAAAAAAAAAGGCACTACTGAAGTTGATGAACGAAACCAATGGACGGCCCTCCAAGATGATGGCAGTTTGGCAAAACAGTAACATATAGACGATCCCATGCATATGTTGGAGATTATGGCTGTTGCAAAGAAAATGAGCGAGAGCGAGATGACAGAAAGCCAAATTGCAAAATCACATTGAAAGTCAGATAGTCGAACACTGTCCAGAAAGCAGAAAGCACCAAGTATCCCACCAATGGAGACCAAAACAATGAACTCAATTGTCAACGTCAACCCTAATGCACCACCACCAACAATGTATTCAATGTCTCTTCTCCTTCGGAGCTCAGAGCCCAAGCTACGACCAGACAGCATCTATCCTAATGACGAATCAACAGGAAGACTTCAATAGCAGACCACTTGTACGTGAAGATGCCGCCCATGCAGACCTACATCGCACAACCAGGTTCGTCCTGTCTCTCTCTCTCTCTCTCTCTCTCTCTCTTGTCTCCCCCACATGCACGTTCCTCTCATCCTAGGACCACCATTGCCCACCACGATAACCCACTGACAATCCAGGAGCCGGGCTGGCTGACCTCCGGAGCCCACTTGCGCCCGAGTGCGCCCAGCCTTGACCTCCAGCAGCCTGTGAGCGCATCAAGCAGAATCGCTGCCGCATGTACGAGCAAGGCCAGAATACTCTGCCTGGAGGCAGGCACTTTCCTATATGGACAGTGCTTGCCTCATTCGGCATCCTGGGCCTGACGACCAAGCTCCCAGTAGCTTGACGCCGGGCCCGAGTGTCTGCACCCAGGCCTGATTCAGATAGTGGCCTGGGACTGAAACAGTTAAGCAAGCCCAACTGTGCGACGTAGACTTCATCACACGCTGCTTCCGGATTGAGTGGAAAACCTTCTTCCAACTCGCTGCCTGGAAGAGTCTGGAAGGCTCACAATGTCCCGGTCACATAGCATGCTGGGGCCCCGTAACCAACTGGCACCCTGTAACTGTCTGGGGTCCCCGGGGCCTCTGAAATGGCCAAAAAAAGGCTGAGGAGGTGAATGCTGGCCCGCCTTCACTTAGGGCGGGCGCAACACTTGCTGCCCGGGACCTTATGCCATTGCCGAGGTCCGGGATCCTCGCACTGTTGCTATCTATGAAGACAAACTTATTCCGAATGTAGATTCTGCAGGTAGGTGTCCGTTGGGACATCAGCTAAAATTGGACCAACACAGAGAAGATTAGCATGGTCCCTGTGTGAGGATGACACCCATGCATCAAGAACCGTTCAATATTGAAAAAAAGAAAACAAAAAGAAGATTCTGCAAGCAAGGCTGGGCCGGCAACCGGCTTGTTCACTTCCTGCGGTCCACCCGGTGCTGGACCAGCCCGGGGGGGGTGAACCGGGAAACCGGTTTTTAAAAATGATGCCGATAATGTTTTTTATTATTTTTATTCTGGCGGATTCAGATTGTGCTCGTCGAGATCTTTTGAAATCAGCAATAAAATTTTGAACATGCAATTTTTTTTGTTAGGCTTTTCAGAGGGGGGGCGGGGTGGGGGCGGGGTGGGGGGGGGAAGGGGGGAAGTAGTATTCGGCTGTTCAGGAAGGTATGGCTCTCAGGGGGAGGGGTCGAGTAAACAAGGTTGCTTGTCCAACCCCCGTGGCCCAGAAATTTCAATTCGCCTCCATAGGATGTCATGGACTATCACCAGCATCCCAGAAGCTGAGCGAGATATGTCGAGAGATCGTCCTTGCCAAAACTTATAGCTCTTCCAGAGTATAGCTCGATGGCCAAAAGGTTATGGGTTCAGGTTTCAGCTCGTGGAGACAGATCACTTTAGATTTGTTTTTTTCTAAATGCGGTGGGTCATCAGTCCGAAAGTTTCTTGCCTGTCTGTCTGTCCAAATACACGTAGTGGAGCGAGGTTCATTCTTGGGCTTGCACCTAGGACAGCATTGTTACTCTGACTTCACGAGCCGCAACCCAAACCCATAACTTTTCCCCCATAGCATAGGGACGCTGCAGAAGCATATAATCTCAGCAAAGCTACCTCAAAGACGTACTCATTTACTTATCGCTTGGAGTTGATGTGCATCAGGATGTGCCATTTACATCTGGTCTGTGGTCCACTGGACTAACGATGCCAAATTGAAAAACGGGGCCTATTAGACACCGCACATTGAAAAGAAATGCGGTGATTTTTCTCTGCTGATCTGCAAAGATCAGCGGCGGAGAGATCTTCGCGCGTTCTTTTCAACAAGTGGGGTCCAAAAGGCCCCGATTTGATTTTTGGAAGGAGGCAGCGGCCTCCCATGGGCTGGGCAATCACAGGGGTGCCCTTCACTCCCCGATACGCCCCCCCCCCAGCGTGATGCGCTGGGTTTGACCGGGGGTCTGCCAGGTCGGTCGACCGCCCGGCAGGCTCCCAGTTGGGGGAGGGGGCCCTGGTCCAACAGGGGTCCAGCCCTGTCTGCAAGTAGATTTGCTGAGCTTTGAGGCTACTGATAAATAAGAGTTGTTCTCCTTTCTGCCGCCCACCAAAACAGAAAGAACATAGTGCCAGCTCAGCAACACATCATGCATTGTGGTAAGTGTAGCATCAACATGTCAAGATGAAATCAACCAAGAGGCGGGGGGGAGAGAAGGGGAATGGGGGTACAATCAAAATGAAAAGCGAACAAAGGAAACAAAAAAGGCACTGACTATTGCTCAACAAAACAAATGGACGAACCAACTGGCCTGACTCAGTGGAATAAGGCGAGTAAAATAGTCAGGAATCCTGCCATCCCTCACCAGGGGTTAGGAGCCTCTGTACTACTCCCTGCATAGAGTAGAGTGCATATAAGTAGTCAGTTCCCCCCTTCAGTGCGTAGCTGTTCCCCTCCGGTGCATAGATGTGGAGTTCTGCCATGCTAGATATGTGGGTAGATAGCGCGTGATATGTAGGTATCCAGTGTGAGGAGGAAAATTTTGAGAGAAGAAAATAGTGCAGAAGAAGTCAGCTCTGAATTTCCTGGGGCCGAGCGGTTCAGTGATGATATCTCACGGCCGTCGCCCTTTTTTATTTTGAACCATGTGCAAGGAAATGGGCACTGCAAATGAAAAAATAAACCAGATAGCAGCATTCCATGGAAATTTGGAAAACCAAATCACTCTGGGCCGAACTGAAAGCAGATTGCAAGCTGAGATCGCACCAAATAAGCACAAGCAAAGCATTGAAGTCAAATCATAATGAAAGCCCCCATCTGGCCTCCCATCACCAATGTCAACAATGTAGCTCTCCTATGTTGGCGCTCGGTGACCAGACTACAGACAGACAGGTCCTATGGACCTGGAGCCCTAGCTACAACAGATCTGCAATGAAGACAATCAGCCCGCAAGTGAACGGCCCCCTTCTTCTCCACCAATTGAGTGCCCCCGTACACACTGCTCTTCCCCGGTCATCCCCTCATCCCCTTGCCCAAAGACCACCACTCTCCTTCACCGGCCAAGCGAGAAAGCAGCCCAGCTATGGCTGCTGCTCGCTTGCTGCCTCGCCTTGCAGCCTGATTGAAAGCAGATTGCAAGCTGAGATCGCACCAAATAAGCACGAGCGAAGCATTGAAGTCAAATCATAATGAAAGCCCCCATCTGGCCTCCATTTTGGTGCGGCGAGGACCAGTATGACAGAAACACTGTGGCCATACTTGAAAGATAGAATGACAGGAACATTGCAGCAATACTTCACAGAATGAGTTGCTCCCTGTACTCGAGACTGCGGTCTTCGCCCGAATATAATGGCCCGTCTTTATTGAGACCACTAGTCTGAAAGCTGCACAGAGCGTTCCAGTATTTTAGTCATCCGCTCTCAATGGAGGTCGAACTCAGGTCTGTGTACCAACCGAGCTGGGCTATTCGGGTGAAGATAGGGCGGATTTCCCAAAATGTTGAAAAAAGCAAAAAAATCCAAAAGAATGTGCACAACCTTTGCGTACCTTACAGCGGGAGAAGACGGGGCTTCCTGGAACAAGCTCTGGCCCTAGAACGGCAATCATTGCATTGACAACACGTCCGACACACTGCCACAATTGTGGAGTTGAATGCTCTTCAGAGAGAAGCATTTCGATGCAGAGAGACAATGTCGCCTATAAAGAACAACACAATTAACAAAATCCAAGTAAACCATTTTCAGTGTGTCAGTACGGTCCTTTTCAATATGGCCCTAGAGCTGCAACCATTGCATTGACTACCGTCTTCACCCGAATAGAATGCCCAGTCATTATCGCAGCATCGGGACTGAAAATTGGCCCAAATACGGCAATCATGACCGGGCATTCTGTTCCGGTGAAGACGGTAGACATCCGACACGCTGCCACAGTTGAATTCGCTCATCAGAAAGAAGCATTTCGATGCAGTCAAACATTGTGGTCGATGAAGACCAACACAATTAACAAAATCCAAGTAAATCATCTTCTGTGAGTGAGTACGGCCTCTTCCCTGAGTGAGTATGGTGCTCTTGGGTACACAATGCTAGAACTGCCATCATTGCAAGGACGCGATGTGTGACACACTTCCACAATTGTGGAGTTGAATGCTCTTTAGAAAGCAGCATGTCGACGCAAAAAGACAATGTCGACTCCAAAGACCTATCCATTTAATGAAACCAGGTAAACCGTTTTCTGTGAGCGTGTGGTCCACTTGGGCACAAGAAATCCAAGCAAAAACCATTTTCCGTGAGCAAATCTAGTCCTCTTGGATATCTGCACGGTTCGATGAACATACAAAATATCTGCAAAGCAAATCCCCTGCAGAGTGGCACACACCATGATCTCCATTTGAAACAGCATCACGGTGTATGAAGTACTATATAGTATATAGTAACTATTAAACTTCAAAAAAAAATTGAAGTTCGTTTTCTCAACTTTTCTGATAATATTTACTCTTTTTTTTAAAACGTTTGTATGAATTTTATATGTTGAGGCAATGAAGTGGGAGTGACGTATTTGATGGAGTTGGATCAGAAAGATATGCAAACAAAACGTCGCCCAACTTCACCGGGGAGGTAACAGAAATTAATAACATCGAAAAAGAAGAGAAAAAGAAGGGAAAATTGTTGAAAACACAGGAGCAGACAAAGTGCCCAAACTTCTGCATATGCTCCATTCCGTCCACGGGCATCTTCGCTGTATGCCCTTGACCATGGACTGCAGAGGCCTGCGCACTTGATTTGCCATCTGCCCCTCGACCGGGCAGGCGTCGTTTCTGCCTGACTTGCATCGAACCTGGTGGTGTCGGTCCAATTCCAATTTTGAACGTGTTATTGTGTTGACGTTGCTGTTTTCCACTGGAGTGTTGCCCTCCATGTTTTCCTCGTTGTGTGTTGCCCTCACTGCCATAGCCGCCCAGGTAAGATGCTTCCTCGCAACACATCTTTCCTCCTCCACTTGCTCATCTTCCTCTTCCTCTTCCCCATCCTCATGCCTTTCCTCCTCCAGTAGGGGCATTTGCAACATTTTCCTCCAACGGTCCAATAGCCAGAAATACCGGGGAATATGGACAAGTTGCAAGGGGGGCAGTAGGGGTATATTACTATATGTACAAGATGGCAAGTCCAATTGGAGAGGGGGGTATTTTCAGAGTTCCACAGCCGTGATAGGGGCATTTCGTCATAGAGGCATATCTGACGAAACACCCCAACTTTCAGGGTCATTTCAACGACTGTCCCAAACAAAAAAAAAAAGATCCATCCGATAAATGAAAATTTCAAAGTTCGCTGCAGGATGCAAATATAGATTTTGAGACAGCTGAAGAGCCATATGAGGCGAGCGTGTTCCAACAATTCAGGAAACTGTTCGACGCCTTTACACAACAATGCTTCAAGAAACACAGAGGACAGAGTGATGGCAAAGTAGAGAGATGAGCACCTCCACATGCGGCATGAAAGACAGGCCTGCAGCATCAGCGGTGAGCCACAGCCCATGCAAAGCCCAGATGTAAAGACCATCAGTGGCATCTTTTGCGAGATTGCAGAGACCCTGAATGACAGCAGGAACCAGGGCTGATAGCGCCATACCGCCAACACTGCAATAAAACACACGCGCAAAAACCCAGAACATCATCTCATTCACGGTTATGACAGAACCGAGGATAATCCCACCACCTCTCGATGCCATTCACAAACACCTAACCTGCCCGCTTCGATATTGGAATGAATAGACAGCAAGAGAAAGCCAGACAATCACGTATGTTCCTCATGTCTTTTGAAAAAAAAAAGAAAAAGAAAGCGGTGTAGATAGCATTGTCGAACTGACCGGCCCCAGGTAATTCAGAACTATTTTATTCTGGCCAGCTGCTTGTGGCCAAATTCGAACTCGGGTTTCTATGTCAACAGTTCGTGGGTGTACCAACTGAGGTAAGCTCGTTGGTATGTTCCTCATGTCTTTGTTTTTGCACAGATTAGGACCCCTACCGTCTTCACCCGAATAGACTGAGTGATTAGGACCACTAATGTCTTCCCCCGAATAGAATGCCTGGTAATTGTATCTGTATTTATGGCAACTTTCAGTCCCGATGCAGCGATAATGACCAGGCGTTCTCTTTGGGTGAAGACTGTAGTTGTTGATGGGGTCAGAAAAATGCTCCATCACTATATTGTTCATAGCTTCGGAGCTGCTTCTGTTTAGCACTTTTTGTTTAGCTCTGGAGTTCATCTGAAACTGAAAGTTCAGTGGGAATGATTACTTCGGAGTCCGGACCTTTTACACAGTCAGAGGTGCGTGAATCAGGGTTGGATGCAGAAGTTGTCAGGGTAGAGGTGAGAGATTTCAATCTTGGAGGAAGTGCAGCTGAGCATTAGCTTGAACGGTGCGACCTCCATGTTTCATGGGATCCCATAGACAACTACAGACTTCACCCGAATAGAACGCCGGGTCATCGTCGCTGCATCTGGACTGATAATTGCTACAAATAGTAAAATACATATAAAATGAACAGGCATTCTACTCGGGCGAAGACGGTAATGGTCCTAATCTCGAGTGAAGACAGGACAGTAGTGGTTCTAATCTGGTAAAAAAATGCTGCTGGGGGACTCCAGAAATTGCTGACGTTGTTTTTTGTGGACCGTCGCTTCAACCGGACCGTCCCTGAAGGGCCTGCTGTTGGAGAACTTCGGAGGGCAGTATCGAGGTGTTTGTTTTCTGCCGGCGGGACGGGGACGAGGTAGTCACAGGCGACTCTCCCAGTCTCTCTCTTTCTCCCTTCTTTTTTCTTTTTTTTTTCGGTTCTTTAACTTCAGTCGTGGGAGCGAGACGAGTGGGGGAGGCCTGCCAGGACGGGTACGAGGATGAAATGGAGGGACGGAGGGTGAGGGGGGGTCTGGGGGGAGGGTGACGTGGGAGTGGGGTCTGACAACGGGGGGAGCAGGTGGAGCTGGGCAGACAGGCGAGCGAACGGTTCAAGATTTGAAGTTCCAAACTTTGAAGTTCGTACGTTAATATTTCCAATTTTATTAGCATGTTGGACCACTCCCACAACCTGTGTGTGTGCGTGTGTGTGTGTGTGTGTGTGTGTGTGTGTGTGTGTGTGTGTGTGTGTGTTTGTGTGTGTGTGTGTCATGTGTGCCGTTTTTTTTTGTGTTGAAATAACCGGACAACCGGACACTGGTGCACCCAACCGGACTGTCCTCATCCGGTTAACCGGATGTCCAGTTTTATACGGACACAGGTCCGGTACATGTGTCAGGTTGACGTGGGAGGGGGGTCTGACAATGGGGCGAGTAGACGGCGCTGGGCAGACAGGCAAGCAAACGGTTCAAGATTTGAAGTTCCGAACATTGAAGTTTGTACGTTAATATTTCCGAGTTTATTAGCATGTTGGACCACTCCCACAAACCTCTGTGTGCATGTGTGTGTATCATGTGTGGCCGTTTTTTTTTTTTTTCTGAAATAACCGGACAACCGGTCACTGGTGCACCAAACCGGACTGTCCGGGTCCGGTTGTCGTATGTCCGGTTACATGTCCGGTTAACAGGACGTCCAGTTTTATCCAGACACTGGTCCGGTAAATGTGTCAGGTTGTCCGGATGTCCGTGTCCGAGGCAACCATGGTTGTGAGGGACCTCCAGGTCCACGGGGATTCCATAGATGGTGGTCATAACCTATCCCTACTAGCCTTTCAGCCTACGTAGTAGCCTGTAATACCAGGCCATTCGCATGGCACGACAATTCGTCTCAGGTGAGGCCAACTTCAGCAGCAATTACTCCTATGCGAGGAGGCTTACATTCTTTTATATGTCAGTCTGATACCAATTTAACCTGCATGGATTTACATCATAGACAAGCTAATCCGAATATGGCGATGGGGAGCCTATGACGATGGTCCCTCTTCGTTTCGAGGGTGAAGAAAACACCCTGTGGTGCTGCGTGGACAACTCTATACCGACAAGGCCCCACTGCTATGCTCATGCTTAGGCAAAATGCACTGGCTGGTAAGAACAGCCAGATTTGGCTGTACATTCATCACGCAACCATAGCAACGGTGAGGCCTGGCCATTGCGTACTGGCATGTTCCTTCTTTTTCCTGCTCTCTGGAGAGAGGGAGATGGCATTTACATAATTCAGTCGACAAAGTTCAACCGCTACGGCATCTGGACTCCCCAGACAAATGTGGATGTATAGTATTTTATACACCACTGATTGGCTTCGAGTGCCAGCGAGGGGCTCCGACTCCTCGCCACCCACTCTGTAAACTAACCCGTCAATGGGGATAAAGTTCCTCTAAACCATAACGGCCAAAGGCAACAAAACCCACCTGGCCCTCCCTACTGTGAGGATCTGGGTCCTTGGCAGGCCTAAGGGGCCCTGTTGCAAATGTGCCCGCCCTAAGTGAAGGCAGGCCTAACAAATCATGAGAGGCACTCAGCTGTCAATTTCGTATTTGGAGTTCAGGCAGTTGTGACGCACCAGTTGGTTGAGGGAAACACAGGCCGAGCAGCAAAGACATTCCACGGCCTTCCAGGCCTTTCCGAAAATGCAGGCCCTGGCCGAGAATCGCAGCGTCATAAACAGACAGTTGGGAGGCCCAACTGAACGAGGCCCAGTGGCTGCAACAGAGGCGCAGCGTCCCGGGGCCTACCGGAAGCTTCTGGGCCGAGGCCCAGGCCAGGCAGGCAGGCAGGCTCTTTCATATAGGAAAGAGCTCGCGGCCTGGAGGATCATTCAGCACTCGCGTGTTGGCGGCAGCGCTGCTGGAGCGGACGCTCGTAGGCTGCTGCTGGCGCTGAGAGGCAAGGTGCTAGCACGTGCGGTCGTGCAGGAAGCAGGGTGCTGCTGAGGGCAGCGCCATAGCCCAGCCTCCATAGCTGGATGGGCTTGGACAACAGTGAGGTGCAGGGGCGGTCTTCGGGTGTACAGAGGGAAGATGTGGGTGTAAGTCGAGGGAGAGAGAAGGATGATGATGATGTGAGGGCACATACCTGGTATTGGCGATGGTCTGCATGGGCGACATCTTCAAGTACTTCGTGGGCTGCTGACGTCAACAGTTGCAATGTCAATTAGTAGGCAGACAGTAGATGTGTAGGAAGTAGGCTCGGTGCCGAGCGCCAAGTAGGGAGAAGGTCCTGGACTTTTGTGTTGGTGGTGGCGAGAGCAAGCTCTCATTGACATTTGTTTTCAGTGTTACGATTCTCCATTGGTGTCATATTGGTGAAATGCTGCTTTCTGGACACTGTGATACTATCTGGCCTTCAATGTGATTGTGCATTCTGGATGTTGTCGTCTCGCTGTTGCTCATTTTCCTTGCACTACCGTCTTCACCCAAATAAAACGCCCGGTCATTATCACTGCATCTGGTCTCACAGTTGCCCCAAATGTAGCTATAATGACCCGGCGTTCTATCCGGGCGAAGACGGCAGCAGTCCCATCCTCGACTCCTCGTTTGCCGCTGTGAACAAAGATATTATGACAAGCCAGACGTCGAGAAATTGGTGGCTCAGAACTCTCAAGCTTTGCGAGTCCAGTGCGGACTATGCACCAAACACACTTTGCTTGTTGTTCCCGAGGAGTTCTCACAGAAGTGTTGTTGAGAATTGCATAACAGAGCGCTTGGCCGAGGGTCACTCTTAAAACTGATTTATATCCCCCTTCCTGCCACCCCCCGCCTCTCCCTTCCAACCGACAACGCAGAGAAATAAGAAAGAGCTGGGATTCAGGCTGATTTCTGTAGGTGCAAATGCCCCACCGACAAAAAAAAAATGAGTCCTCGACCTTTTGCGTGCCTGCACTCACCCAGGCGGGAGACCCTCCAGGCAAGTCACGTGGGCAACCCACCAGGCTTGCCCGACCAGGAGCCGCAATTAACCTAGGTGGGTAGTGCATTGAGTAACATTGCTACACACAGACTGAGGGAGTGGGTCATCCCATGGTCAGACAATGGCTGAGAGCGGTTGGGATGCAAATCCAGTAATAAGATCCACTATTCAAGTTTCAAGCACAAATGAACGTTATTGACAAAAAAAATGCAACAACAACCAAAACCACAGCGGCTGCTTCCCCAAAACAGTCGTGCATTGTAATGCACAACTCAATGTGAATGTTTTCGTCAAAGATAGTTTACCTGCGGTGGACACAGCCAAGGGATAGAGCTATTGCACACTTCTGGGAAGCGTCGGTAGAACTTGCTGCTTCATTTAATAGTGATCTTGCCTGCACTTGGCCACATACAAAAACAAAGAAGTTGAAAAGTCTTATATACTGGAGGAAGGTGGGGGGATGACGTCAAGTCCGCATGGCCCTTATCCGCTGGGCTACACACGTGCTACAATGGCAATGACAATAGGAAGCAAGGCTTTCAAGGTGGAGCGAATCCTGCAACATTGCCTCGGTTCGGATTGTTCCCTGCAACTTGATATGCTGGCGTCTTAAACCACCAGTACATGGCCCCAGGCAACTGGGGAACATGTTTTGAGCCTCTCTGAAAATTTAGGAGGCCAAGCGCCGTAGATAAAATGAATCGGTGGTGGGCGGCCTACAAAAGGGGCCCGCGGCCGATATCTGGCATGTACTGGTGGTGGTAGGCGGCCTCCAAAAGGGGCCCGCGGCCGATATCTGGCATGTACTGGTGGTTTAAACCCAAGCAGCAAGCACACTCCACTGCATCTTAGATGGCTAAATGAATTGTACCAACATATATGATAAACTTAAATAAACTTATGTGACATGAAATGCCCGTGACCTATAAGTGAAATAGGGCTTTTACTTTGGATCGTAGCAGTCAGGAAGAGGATGGGAGATGAGCGGCCTGAGAGACTGCTAGGAAGGCCCCCCCCCCTGCGCCTAGCCTACCCTCGGGACCCTTCTGCTGCGTGACTGGGTGATGTTAGGAAGCTTCCCAGCCAGCAGAAATATCCCCAGGGAGGCCATGGTATGGGAGATGGGTTCGGTCGTAGCAGTCCCCCCCTTGATAGGTGGCTAGGACCGCAAGGGTATGGCTGTGCCCTTTTTTGCAGATCTTTCTCTTGCTCGAACTCATGCTTGCCGGTGATAAGCAACCGGACTGATGCCCCCCAAAATAGAAGGGGCTATGTGTGTTTAAAAAAAAAAAAAGGAATAGAAGAGAAAAAGAAACACCAGTGATGAAGGGATGGACTTGCTCAACCCACGCACCATATCAGAGAGCTTTGAATTATGAACAGGGTCTCAACTAAGGGAGAGATGGACCCAACACCATGTGCCCAACCTTGCTGAAACTGCCCGACAAACTTTAATTCTGGCATGGGGAGACATCCTAGCCTCTTGAAGATGCCACCTCCCCACCTTACGACACAGGCCAAGTTGTTAGCTCGCCAAGGAGAATGCAGATATGGATCAGGAGTTGGATACCTCTGAGAGAGAATTCATGCAACAAGGGATCTATGCCCTTCCAACCACCAGTACAGTTCCCTAACATTTTTCTGCGATGTAGCTGCATGCAAGCAGCAACTTCCGGGGGTCGGCTGCCGGAGCAAAACGGCTGGCGGTGGCAGCCAAAAGGGGGCCGCGCCGGTTTGGTTTCTTCTGGCGCACGGGGAATTTGAAGCCCCAGGAAAAGTGGCTTGGAAGAACTGGTGGTTTCAACCACCTTGGTTCTTGTACTACCATCTTCCCCCCGATGTGACGCACCCTGATCCAAAAGGACACACTAAAAAAGCAGAAAAAGAAGAGAACATACACACAAAAAAAACAAACAAAAAAAAACTAGCTTGATGAGCAACTGCCTTTCATAAACAATTAAAAAAATATAAAAAAAACGATTAAGAAGCATTTAGTCGGCAAATGGGGAACTGTGCTCATCCAACAACCATGGTTCTCTTGCTAAATGTACCCAAAAGCAACACACACCGTGATCCATTAGAACAACACACTTAGGGGGGAAAGAAAAAACAGAAAAGACAACACAAAGAAAAAGAAAGACTACCACCTTAACCCAAATAGAACACACGGTCATCATTGCTGCATCCAGACTGAAAGTTGGGGAAAATACACAGCTATAATGACCATGCATCCCATTCAGCTGAAGATGGTAGCACTATGAACAACTGCTGTAAGTCTGAACTGGTAATTAAAACCGTGTGGCGGAGAGTGTCGTGGGATGAACAAACATCTGGTGAGCAAGGGCATGGAAAAGCTTACAAGTCGTGGCTCGTCGGCAGGCCTAAGGGCCCCATTTCTGGCATGTGCCCGCCCTAAGTGAAGGCGGGCCTGAGAAAATCACGAGGGGCCCATTGTAGTCAATTTGACAATTTCGCATTTTGGGGTTCAGGCAGTTGCGTCGTGTCAGTTGGTTGGAAGGACCCAGGCCACGGCCAGCCACACTTTGTTTCGGCCTTCCTGGCCTTTCTTCGAAGCAGGCCCTGGGCCGCATCTGCAGCAGTATACACGACAGGCAGTTGGGAGGCATAACCAACCGGGGCCCAGGGCAGTAGCAGCAAAGGCCCAGCTACCCGGGGCCTACCAGAAGCTTCTGGGCGCCGGCCCAGCCAGGCCGCAGGCCAGGCCGAGCTCTTTCCATTTAGGAAAGTGCTCGCAGCCTGGGCAGGTATTCGGGCACTTGCTAGTTTGCGGCAGCGCTGCTGGAGCGGACGCTCGTGGGCTGCTGCTAGCGCTAGAGCAAGGCGCAATGCACGTGCGGTCGTGTAGGAGGAAGGGCGCTGCTGCGGGCAGCGCCATAGCCCAGCTCCCATAGCTGGCTGGGGCTTGGATGTACAGTAGTAGTGGTCTTCGTGTGTGAAAGAGACAAGACGTGGGTGGAAGACGAGAGAGAGATGAGAGAGATGAGAGAGATGAGAGAGATGAGGATGATGACGTGAGGGCACATACCTGGTCGTGGCAATAGTCTACATTGGTCGACCGTCGACATCTTCATGTGCTTCGGTGGCTGCTGACGTCAACAGTTGCATTGTCAATTCGTAGGCAGGAAGTAGCTGTGTGGGAGTAGTCTGGGGGAAGGGCCTGGATACTTATGTTGGTGATGGCGAGAGTAAGCTCTCATTGACATTTGGTTTCAGTGTTTCGATTCTCCATTGGTGTATTATTGGTGCAATGCTGCTTTCTGGACACTGGGGAACTTTCTGGCTTTCAATGTGATTGTGCAATCTGGATTGTGTCATCTCACTATTGCTCAAATTCCTCGCACTACCATCTTCATCGCATTGTCTTTTTTTTTTTTTTCCTAAATGTACCCAAAAGCAATGCACAGCGTGATCCATTAGGACACATTTAGGGGGAAAGAAAAAACAGAAAAGAGAACACAAAGAAAAAGAAAGACTACCACCTTAACCCAAATAGAACACACGGTCATCATTGCTGGATCCAGACTGAAGTTGGGGAAAATACACAGCTATAATGACCATGCGTCCCATTCGGCTGAAGATGGTAGCAATATGAACAACTCGTGTTAGTCTGAACTGGTAATTAAAAGTGTGTGGTGGAGAGTGTGGTGGGATGAACAAACAAACATGTAGTGAGCAAGGGCACGGAAAGCTTACAAGTCGTGGTGCAAATGCATCGCCACCCAGTCGAGCCAAGAGCCCAAGAATTTCTGCAGCTGCTCGTCGGTGGGCAAGTGAGGTACCATCCACAAACAGCACACTCTGCAACCAATGTGAACCATGCCAAGAGTCACCATGCAAAATTTGATTGAAGTATCATTAAATTTCAATTCAGCATTTGATTGTTCATTTGATTCAAGTTCCTCCCTCTTCACATATATTGTGGAATTTGTGGTACAACAAACATACCAATCCATGATGGCTTTCCACAACATCTTAAGGAATGCACAGCGCACTGCACCTGAGCGCGTGATGCGCGCGGTACACACACATCGCCCAGGCACAAACCGCACAGGTGCGCCACAGGTATGATCTTAACACATGCACAGGGCAACAACCTCTGATTGCGGCCTTTTAGACAGAACCAGCTTAAGACCATTGTTGTGCACTGCTTAGAGCTGCGAGAACATGTGCCGATTCTTTCACAAGGCAAAGGGACTCTCATACGGCCATGGTTGCATACCCCGACGGTCGGCGGTCCTAGACTGGTGGGATGCCGAGCAGCCGACCGATTGGCTGGTCGGCACCTACCGGTCAGGAGTCGGCACCCCGCCAAAAGAAAAAAAAAACTGTTTTTTTTTTTTTTTTTG